TGCAGGCAGCACTGGACAAGGTCAGTATTGCTCATTTGTTTAAAGAGCTGCAAGAAATAGATCCTGTAAAAACTCTAAGGTAAGCTTGAATTGGCATATACTCTCTGTTCAAACAAAGATTTGGAACTCTAAATGGGGATGAATAGTGAGATTATTTTTAAAATAAATACATTAAAAATCTGTTTTTAAATTTGCCAGCACTAGCTCTATCAGGTCATGCAGACTGCCCAGTGATGAAGTCTTTTTACAAGTGCCCATGAAATTCAGTTAATGGTAGGACTGAAGTGCAGCAGACTTTCCCAAACAAGCATTAGTCTTTTGAGCAGAGGGAAGCTCAACACAGGCTAAAACCCGAATATTCTCAAGTAGATTTGGGGATCCTTATGGGCTATGTTTTTATAAACACCCAGGAAACTAGTTCCAAACTCACTTAGGGCTGTGTTGGAGAATAGCTGTAACATGTTGACTACTGCCTAGACATAACTTCTAAACCATCTAAACAGCTGCAAAAACTCGCCAGCCCTGTATTTCTTGTTGCCTTCTCTAAGCAAGTATATGAACTATTTGCAAATTAGTTCCACATACTCCTCAGCCCAAATCAATCATATTTGTTGGTGTTTTCCCTCCATCTTTCTCTCTCTCACTATGCATCTATGCTTATACTCTGGGTGAACACAAATTCCCACCATTGCATAAACATTTCCTACAATGATCCTGGTTTATCTATGGACAATATCTTTAGAAAGCATTTTGCCTCCATATGCTATTCTGCCTCAGGAGAAGTACCTTACATTACCCATTGTGTAGCATTGTATCTGGTAGAATCAATCTGCATGTCATCTTCAGAGATAATTTAGGCCCTAATTTTTACCTGGATGCCTATTCACCACTAGTTTCAGCAAGAGTTAGACTCTGTCCACTAATCCTAATTACTGATCATTCACACTACACTGTGAAACTACAGTAGCTAGCACATTCAGGGATCTTTCTCCCAGCTCATGTTCTACAAAGTGAATCACAGAGACAGGAGGGCAGGGAACTGATGGTTGAGACATATTTGGTGGGATCCCAACTAACTGCTGCAATATAGAACTTACGCAGCTAGTTTAAAAGAAGTTACCTAGCCTCTCACCTCCCCCACCTACCTTTAAAATATGTCGTCTAGTGAGATGAATCTCCCTGTTGATGTTTTTGACAGAGCATGCCAGAAAGATTTGCTGAGACTAGATTAGTCCTGAAACTGCTAATGTTAAGCAAGATGAAGCTAAGCTGTTGTGTGCCAAGCATTTTTTTGTCCTCCTCTTGCCTACTTTTTCCTTTCCTCGTGCTGAGTATGTATCTCTATAAAAGGTTTACATCAGATCTAGAGTAGACCACTTTTCCCTGCAGGCTTCATCAAACCTCCACTGAATCTGTTCACTGTTTATGTGGTCAGAGTGTTCTGCTTTTTGTAATTGAGGACATTAACTGACTTGCTTAATGGTAGATAGTTTTTTTTTTTTCAGTGAAAATTTGATACATAACCTGGGAGGATATTGAAGGGGCAGTTTCAAAAAAATAAAGTTTATATATTTATGCTTAGAAAGTAATAGTCCAATGTGAAAAAAACAGAGTACTTTAATTCGTATTTTAAAATAAAATGTTTTGTCATATTTGATTGGTTACATTTTTGCTTTTGTTTACCTTCAAGGAACTTAAAAATGTTGTGAAAGTCAGTATTTCCCAGCCAACAATTTTTCATCTTTATTAGAACTCCATTTCCAAGAAAAGTTTTTGGTTAAAGTGATTTGTTCAACTAATATGAGGAGGTGAAATATCATCTGTACCTAACAATGCTAAAATGGGGCCATCATTATGCTCTTTCCAGGTCAGAGAAGGACGTACTACACTTGTTATCACTCATCATTTGTCAACAGTTCGAAATGCAGACCTTATAGCTGCATTTGAAAATGGTGTCATCGCAGAACAAGGGACTCATAGTGAGCTAATGAAGCAGAAGGGAATTTACTACAAGCTTGTTAATATGCAGGTAGCTTTTTCACAAAATTTTTTTCATAGTTTTTATCATGTTGTGTGCTATTGAGATAACCATATTAAATTTGCTCCTAAAGATACCTCCAGCTTTGCAGTGATTTCTCAGTAGAGAGACTCCAGGGAGTAAAAAGCTTCCCTGAAGAGTGTTAAACTTTGTATTAAGAAAACCTCACACTAAGTAAAATGTACAAGCTTAATTCAAAGTTGTGAATTACAGGAATTCTAAGAAAACAAAAGTTTCTTTAAAAGTGTGACATTAAAAATAAAGTATGTGCAAAGCTAAAAATTAAGATTGTGACAAAAATGAAGTGCTGGAGCTGACTCTTAGAATACTTTTCTAAATCATAGGATTATAAAATAACTCAAGTTGGAGAGGACCTTGGTGGTTAATCTAGTATAACACCCTCTGAATGCAAGGCAGATTCTGAGGTTCAGAGTGGGTTGCTTAGTGCCATGTCCTGCTGAGTTTGGAATATTTCCAAGAATGGAGACTCCACACCCTTATCAAGTCACCTACTTCAGTTCCTCCCACCCTCATTCTGGAAACTGAAACACTTTTATACAAGCACTTCTGCAAATTACCAGCATCTTAGTGACTCAGCCTCCTGAAGTTTGTCAATCAAACATGGTCCAGATCTAATATTTTTATTAGCTCTCCAGCTGTCTTCTGAACATCTCAAACAGTTTCTCTCAGACCTGAACTTTGAAGCACCTGGAAGTCTTCATGGCTCCCTCATGTTGAAAATATTTCATTGACTTTCTGATTTATTTTTTTTCATGTTCTTTTACGTAATTTATGCATTTTAAATAGGCTTTCAAGTGGATTTCTTTGATTGAGTTAATTCTCCTATCTGTTTTCATAACAGTTGAACTTGACCAAAAAAAGAAAAAGAAAAAAAAAAAAACACCTTTGTGGCTAAAATTTTTCCCTACTTCCAAGTGTTACTGTATTGCAAGTTTTTCACTGAGTATAGAGAGGACTTAATGACATTTCAGTACTTGCTTGGGCTTTGCAACATCACTCAGTTATTATCAGACTTCCATTTACTTAACATAAATTGGTTTTGTAATTTAGAATTGATGATCATTTGAAAGTAGATGATAATACGGCCATAAGCAAGTTTTAGCATCATATTGTTTCATTTCAGGCATTGAGCACTGAGGATCAGTTGCAGGAAGGTGGTGACACACTGGTTGTCTCAGAGGAGGCACAAAAGGGATCAGTGCTGACTGGACAGAAGAG